AACGCAGTTAACGATCTCGCTATAATCTGTCCTTAGGGTTTTCGGTGTTTCAAGTAAAGTTTGAAATTAGTTTTTAAAAACTGTAACTGCTCATTGTGATAACACATTTAAAAATGCTTGCCTCACCATTCGAATACATATGCATTATTGACCAAACCTGTTCGTTCAAGATGGCCGGATATTGTCCTCGTCCTTATTTATTTTTTTGCGTTTTTATGGTCCAAGACAGAATTGAAATCCATTAAAACGCGAAAAAAAGAATAAGGCCAATTTCCAGCCATCTTCACCGAACAGATTTGGTCATTAACGGATTTGTTAGGTTGCAAAAAATGTTTGACATAATAAGAATAAGCAATGACTTGTTTACTTCGAGAGCCGGAAAAGAAATCAAACAGTCTTTGTAACGCAATAAACCCACGAGAGTCGTTTAATGTTTCTTTGTTCTTCGCCTTCTTTGCACTCTGAATGGTCGTCATTGTAAAAAAAAATTCATGAACTTTTTAGGTCCGCTCCACGCAATCCTTTTCTTGAGCTGGATCATGGCAGGTGTAGAAAATCTCTTTTGTTTTGAAATTTCAAGTTTCAACTTCCGTATTCATGCATGGTGCGTGTGATTGTACAAATTGACCAATCACTTTAAGAGGGCCGAGACATTGGGGTTTGCGGTGTTGCGGTCTTGACCCTTTTTTAATGCTCTATTGCGGTGAAGAGCAACTCACATTGCGGTTTTGTAATGATCTTAAAGCTTACGATGTAATGTTTGTAATTTTAAATTAACGGTGTTCGGTAAAAAAGAACATTTCCAGTGTTACAAGTTCCAGTGTTGAAGAATAACTTCGTTAGACTTTTTAACTTGTAGTTCATTTTCGAACAAAACGAGCTAATATTTAATAAACGTTGGCTGATTAACCCCAGGTTGTGCTCGTTAATATCTTACTTGACTTCTGGATCACTACAACACGCATTATGGGCCAGCTAAAGATCAGCGCGTGGTAACGATGATTAAAACCGGATCAGGTAAGTCCTGTGACTATATCACATTGCCTGCGTGTTGATAATATCCCTTGCGGAGATGTGGTGTTTGTTCCGAACAAATGGGGGATCTGAATACCGCAAACAGAATAGAGTCTATTTTGTTTGCGGTGTTGTGCATAATGCCTTAAACATAGTTTGTTTGATGTGTTCGCCCTGTCATTATTTACCGCCATTTTAGAATAGGCCTTTACTTTTCGTGCCAACTGCTGCAGACGATCTCTGCGCCAGCGCGCATCAGAGTTGCGAGAGGAATACCCTAGGCAACCGACCATCATTTGCTTGGGTGCCAGGAATTCATCTACAATGACTGATCTCAGAACGAGGAATATACGGCTGTCCACTAGATCCTTCCTGGTGTTTTTCAATGGAAAGCATCTTTGCCTTGTCGAGAATTGAAGCGAGTGCCTTTCCTCTATAAATATGGGCTTGCCATACTGTATACACTAATACACCGTGCAGTGGCGCTGAAAAGTACCCACGCATCCTTCAACTCAAAAAGAAAAAAAAGATTTGCGTGTTTGTTGTCAATGGATACAACTTCTCCTCTCCTTAAACGATATCTTCTGTCTTTTCTTGAAGAGGAGACTACTTCTGGTCGAACAAAAGGATGTCTTCAGTTAGAATTCTCCCGAAGAAAAGTAACTGTCGGGAAAGACTGGACCCCTCACTGAACCCATCAGTTTGAAAAAAAAGAGAGAGGATGAAAAGATGGCTATAAAAGATTAATATAGATAACGCGCGTGAGAAATTAACATTTGGTAAAAGCGAGCAAGAATTTGAAGGAAAGAATGCCAGTGTTTTTTGATAAAGATGGATGCTATTGCAATTGTGGCCCAGGACTTGTGGGTCTGCATCTCATGCAATCCGAGAGCAGCAGGAGTCTACAACGCGCCGGAGCTTCTCTTTGTCTCCATATGAAGTGTCTAGGTGTTTTGCCATTCCCTCCTGAATGGGATGCCAGTTCATCAATGAGTAGCGTCCAGGTTTTAACTGACACTCCATCGGTACTAATCAACACTCCTTATGTTTATTAATATGTTTATCGCGTCAGAATTGTATCTTGTCCTTTCTAGTCAATTGCCAGATGTGCAATTTATGTTATCAAACTTCCAAACAAGCCGGGTTTGTTAACTTTGCACACTTAGCACTTTGAACGTCTCTTCGTACTATGGAAATGAAGCGCTTTGTGTTTTTGTTTCATTGGACAGTTTCTCTGGTCATAGTTGCACAGTCCAAGAATCTGTTGGCCTTTGGTATGTATACGATATTACTATTCACGTTATCACTAGTATGTCACTTTTTCAGCTGTTCAAGTCTCAGTATGGCTGTCATACTCTGAGATATTTTTCAATAAGTATAATAAAGCCTCCTTTAGATCTGGCTCTCTATTCAAGCCCGCACTGATACTTGGACAAGGTGACATCCTTCCCACTCAGTTCCGCTTTTTTTTAGTTTCCATTGTCCAAAACAACTTAAAGTTTTAGTTTCATTAAGAGAAGTCAGTGCCCCCTCGAGATGGCTTCCTTTGTCCTGATTGGTGGGTTGGATAACTTTGGTTTTGGTATTCACGACACTCAATCAAAACGTGTTCCAACACTAAATGCCCCTTTCTACGACAGAGTGTTCCATCAATGCTCAGGTGCCATATGACGGTGATCGGACAATACGAGTTAATGGTGCCTACACTTGCTCGTGGGTGATCACAGTACCTGAAAACTATACAGTTAAATTCACTATAACACAGAAAAACGTTGGTTCTGTTGGTAACACGAACTGTGTTAGTGATTACATACAGGTAATTATATCCTTGGTAACTTTTATTGCCCTGCTGTATAAGCGGAGGATGTATTGCATGAAGGTGTTGATTCTTTGAAGGCTGTTTTGAGAAGGAGGGTCTTGTCTTGTCTAGTCTAAGTTTGTCTCGGGAGCTACCGAATGATGATGTATTTTACGATAATTATTGACATTTGTACTCCTTAGCGTTAGGAAACAATCTATTTTCACTGGGTATTCTTGCTAATTATTCTTAAGGTTCGAGATGGAGGAAGCAATTCGAGCACCCTGTTAAAGAAAATGTGCAACTCAAACCTAGGCCCCTCTATGTTTCGTTCAAGTGGAAGGCAAATGTGGGTGGAGTACAGTTCAACTCAAGCAGGCAACACCTTCCAAGCCTCCTTCAAGAAACTTCTTGATTCATCTTGTAAGTTACAGTTTTTAACAACATTAACAAACATATATAAGAACGATCCTTCGCAGTAAAGCACTATTTGAGCAATAGTGGAAATCAGACCTGAAAAAAATTTCAGGCCTGTACGGGATTCGAACCACTGACCTCTGCGATACTAGTGCAGCGCTCTACCAATTGAGCTAACAAGCCAACTGGGAGCAGGCCATCAAATTAATTCGATATAAACCCGTAGATGATAAATCGAACAACAACAAACATATGAAACATATGAGTGAACTGCGGTTATGAGACGTATATAAGAACGATCCTTCGCAGTAAAGCACTATTTGAGCAATAGTGGAAATCAGACCTGAAAAAAATTTCAGGCCTGTACGGGATTCGAACCACTGACCTCTGCGATACTAGTGCAGCGCTCTACCAATTGAGCTAACAAGCCAACTGGGAGCAGGCCATCAAATTAATTCGATATAAACCCGTAGATGATAAATCGAACAACAACAAACATATGAAACATATGAGTGAACTGCGGTTATGAGACGTATATAAGAACGATCCTTCGCAGAATGAAAATTTGAATACAGAAGTATTGTCTCTGCAGATGTACCAACATGCCAGGCATCCGAATCTTCCGGCAGAGATCAGGGTGCTTACTGCAAGAACATTCAAATTCAGGGAAACCATCTGATCTACCTTTTTTAATTTAAATAACTGATGTCCACTCTGCTTACTAGTGATTCTGACTTCGTGTGATAACTTTAAATGGGCGCCCAAATGTCTTGTAAAAGATGTGAGGTAACCAGGAAAGAATAATTACAGCAACTGCTGGTACTAAGTAGTGAAGCATTCATGAGTATTAGGTATTACTCAAGGGAATTTCCATGCAGTTTTATTGAGGTTTCCACCTCTTAATTTTCTTTTGACTGTACATGTTTCATGAACTTATTCAATTGTTATTTATAATATTTTATTGCTCTCCTTGACATGGGCATCTGTATGAGAATTTCCTTATTCCCTTTTATGCCCCGTGTAAGGAATGCCTGGAGGGTTAGGAAACCTTGACCTCACATCTTTTATGACGCAATTGGGCATCTTTTCCCGCGCTGCATTAACTTGGTCCCCAAGTTCCACGTTTCTAGCCTGGTAAACAGGGCCTTTTCAGAGCCCACACTTCTTTAGAGACCTCCAGTAAGTCTTATTAG